AAACAAAAGGTGGTCAGTGAGTCTTACACATAGAGCTTCAAGTCTTGTCGCGGTTCGTTCTGTTCGAATCAGAGGCTTGCAGGATTACCCTCTCGACGAAGGCATTTCTAGAACCGGCAACTCTTAGCATGACCCACGAGCAGGTCACTAATGATGCCGACGTGAGGATCGAGACAAAGCATTACTGTGTTCAACATGCTCCGTGCTGATGATAGGCCAAACTGCATTAGGCCAAAGTCTACGAGCTCTCTGTGAGTAACATTCCGAGGCACTGCAGTGCATGCTGAAGCCGCCATTCAAAAGAACAGCATCTCAGGTTTCCTAGAGTTGGCAGAATGCGACATCAAGTCCAGCTATAAGAGGGTGCTTTTGACTGCAAGGCCAGTCCAGGGCGTGGACGTCGCAACTCCGCAGCGAGAGCGAGGCCAGCAGAGCCGCAATCGGAGATGACCGGTATCCATATCAGGCAGATCAGTTGACTGTCGACTTCATTGTGGCCATGGCGGCTATGACTATGACGTTTAGAAAGCACTGGCAAGCGAGCCCTGCCAGATCGCCTCATGATGACGCCTCCCTCTCCAGCCCTGAGCGGCCGAGCGATCCACGCAGCGATCCTGTTAGCCCACGGGTCTGGGCCCTGGCACTGGGAGTGAGAGTTAGCTGTCGTGAAACTCGTTGGCACAGTGCCCTCAGGAGGCGGATCCAGCGCCTCAAGACAGTTCTCCGAGGCTGGTTTTCAGGTTGCTGCACCCGGCAATCTTTGGGAACTCGGTTGCCGTCGGAGATGCTTGAAAGGTTACCGTTTCCACTTGCAGTGCAGTGACGCAGCGCAGGCCAGCCCTGGAAGAATTGCTACGGCCAAAGCCGCCGAGCTTCCCCATCCAGGCAGTTTTACAGGCAGTAATTTAGCAATGGGCGGAGGCGTAGAAAGACCGTCACGCATTTCGTTCGTGCGAAGTCTTAGAGCATGGCAGTAAAAGTTGGTCGCAGAAGGTCTGGACATGCCATGAGTCAAATCAGTATGCGAGGCGATGCCACCAGAGGACAAGCGAAGAGGCGCACGAGATCCTCGAGACAGGCCGGAAAGTTGACAGAGCAAGCAGGCAAGGCAGGCATAGGTTTTAGGAGATCTTGACAAAAATATGGCAACATGGGTTTTTTGTTATAAAACCCTCTTTGGGTTTTTAGAAAAGCCAACATCCCCCGAAGATCAAAACTCCTCGGATCGGGACCGAGACTGGCATAGGTCCACTCTGCCAGGCCAACTCCGCGACTGCGCGCTGGGCCCGAACGAGCCGAGAAGGTGGGAGGAGAAGAAGAAGAAGAAGAGTCGGTAACTGCTGCTACTGGGTTTAGGGTTTATTAGGGTTTATTCGGGTTTATTCGGGTTTATTAGGGTTTATTAGGGTTGAGGGTTTAGGGTTTAGGGTTATGACTAGATGACTAGATCTGGTACTGTCACATACCACCAATCTTGATTCGTAATCAAGTACTGCTGCCCTGATCGATGTTAATTACTAATGACTCTTGCTATTGCATGCTATTACTGTTGTCTCTTGTTTATCTGTGCCTCCGTGGTGATTACGGATACTGAATCAGTCTGAGAGGATCAGTCAAGAGTTGCTTTGCCAGGTCCACCCCCCGCGTGAGGGGGAGAAAGCTCAGACGTTCCTCCAGGCGATTCTGTCTTGGTTGCGAGCATGTTCACCGAAATGAGTCTTGGGCCTGGGCTCTACTTTCGACTGTATAATTCAATCGAATTTCAATCGAATATCATCTGGTGGGATAGGACAGAATAGAAAATCTGAAAATAGTGAAACATGACATAGTATCATGGTATAACATAGCACAATGCCAGAGACCTAAAGTGGTCTTGCTGGGCCCCTGAAGGCCTTGGAGATGGCCAAGGCCCAGAAGCAGAGGGAGGGCGCCATGGCGAAGCCGCCGAAGCGAGAGGTCGCGAGCTTGGGCTTCAGGATTTGGGCTCGGGAATGCTGGCATGGATACATAGTTGCTATATACCAAATCGCGATCATATCGCATAGACTGCAACTCTGCCTCCGCCTTCCAGTGCTCCGGCTGTCAGGAACGAAGCAGGCCGGGCCTCGACGTATGGACATTGTGGCGCATGCGGCTTGCAAGCATTGCCGTTGCGATACTACGCCTCACGAATCTCGGAGCGTCTGTTTGTTTTCCTCAGCTTCTCTGTGCACTGTTTATTTTTACTGGAAGACAGGCCAGCAAACATTGCTGCAGAGCTTCGCCGGGTTCTTGGTATGATGCACTTTGAGAATGGCTGTTCATCATGGTGACCGGCAGTAGTTCTGGAGCGGCAGTGTCGACAAGACTTGCATGATGTTTTACGAAGTTCGAAGTGTTATAGCTGCACCTCCAGGTGTTGCTGCGATTCGCTCGAGTCAGCCTCAGGAGCCACATCTTTGGTGAGAGCTGCCGCTACAGTTCGTGAAATCTGGTTGTGTTCGTGCACTCCGTTCGGCCCCCAACTTGCAACTGTCGATTGCGGCAGTCAGAAATCGAGGCTTCTCACAGACAGGCAAAAATCAACGCATCTGAAGCCAAAGCTGCAACTTCTTGCAAAACGAGTTCTCAGAAGTTTATGCACACGATCATGCTCACTGGCTTGTTCAGCCGGTCATGCTGGTTGCTTTTGTGCTGGATCCGCGCAGGAGACGAGCCCATCGAAAAGCCGCAGGAGAGCCTCACTTCTGCACCTGATTCAGCCAGAGGCCGATTCCAGGGCGTCGTCGTTGCAAGCCGCGCTCCAAAGCCGTTTGCATTCTATAGTGGTGTCGTCGATATACCCACTGGGGAAGCCTTTCCGGAATCTGCAGCTGCAAGCCATTGCAAGCACGATCGGCCTGTTCTGTGGCCAGTCCAAGAAAGCGGACCCGTTTGCCCCGGACGTCAACGCGCTCTATGTTGGAGCAGGGCAGCCGCGGCAACAAGCGCTCGGGACCCCGGTTCCGGATTCAGTGCGCAATACAACTAAAGTTACTAAAGAGGATCAGGCACTGGGACTTATGCAACAGGAGAAGCATGAAGAAGCACAATACACGACGCTTTGCCTGATGACCGACCAAGACTTTAGCAGAACGTGTATAGTTGTTTCAAGAATGCTGCCTGCGAGCCTGCCCGGTGCCGCCGGATGCATTCGTGTGCCTTTGGCATATGACGGGATGATGTTGTTTATTTCTTTAACCGCCCGCATCCAACTTAAGGCAGGTGCATAGCGGCGTAGAGCCCTTTCTTGTCCAGGTCACCACCTGGGTCGGAGGCCGGGCGCTGTCTTCGGTGTTTTCTATCCCCATGAAGTCACTTGCCACCTCGTTCCAGATGCGCCTGTAGTATGGCGGATCAGGATTTCTGCTGAAAGTGGGGATCGGGTAGAAGTTCACTCGACTTTGGCCTCGCGTATCGTCGGCAACTGCAAGCGCCCCTCCAGTCGCAGGTAGCCTCGCGGGTAGCATCGAAGGCGAATATGTCGCCGGGCCGAGCCGAGCCCTTTCTGCTACTTTTCGCTTGTTCATTGAAGCCTCCGTTGAGCTGAATTCTCTCCCGAGGTGCGCACTGATGCTGATGAAGTACGGCCCACAGCAGCAAGATGCCGTGACTTGCCACTGCTGCACCTCCTGACGTGTGAGCCATTGCAAACAACCCAGCGGGCATTGAGTGGGCCTTAGTATGAGAGTCAACTGGCAACAAGCTTCTTCTAACCAGCCAAGCTACTCCAACAACCTCAACCGGACACTGCAGTTGATACACTCCCATGTGACAGAATTGCAGTTTTTTGGTTCCATCGAATGACAGCTGCGACTCACGACATCAGCCTGGTCAGGAGCAAGCATTGCTTGGTCGAACTTGCCCCCCCTTGAAGTCAAGCATGGCATGTTGCTGTTAGAGGCAGTTGCAGTTTCCCGACTGCGGTGGACTCGTACATTTTGTGACCCCGAGGCACGAGTGCCATTTGGCGGAGTTTCCCCTTCCACTTCCATCCACCGAGATCCAAGAGGCAAGTGAACGATAGCATTCAGACAACAGCGGGATTCGTTGTCTGCACCAGCTTTACCCTATTGGCATTCGAAGTGTTCCGTGCCATACAAGCTGCAGGTCCTGAAGCAATCGAGTGAGCCCGACATGTGCCGGTGGTCTCGGGTTGCTGTGACGTGGAGGCGGCAAAACTTCATACTCTTTGTTCAATCGTCGTCATCCTTGTAGGTAGTTGGATGTAGTTTGTGTCAGCAGCATCAGCATGTTGCAAAGGTGTTTGTTCAGTTTGATGGCCGCACTTGAGGAGCCAAGAATATCAACATCACCAGCAGACTATCATCTCATACCATCACTGTCAGTACGTAGCTTCGCTGCGGCCATCCTCTTCATCATTGCCGCTACTGGCATCAGCTCCACCACTGCCGGTGCTGCTGCCGCGGCGGTCGCTGTTGCGGCCACTGCTGGTGTTGCTGCTGTCGTTGTCGACTGCAGCGCTGGCGCTGCCCTTGTTGCCGTGGTCGTGGTGGCCGTGGTTGCCATCTTGCTGAAAGCTCTGACGATTGTTCCAGAGGTCCTGCAGAAGCAGCACCAGTGGTGCTCTTCCTTCTCCTAGTCTAACTGCCGGTACTGCTGTGGCGACTTCTGCTGCTGCTTCTGCAACCACGGAGGCTGCTGCTGCAAAAAACGCTGGTACACTCAGAACGAGCTACGGCTGCGGCTCACTACTTACTTCATTACGTACTACATACTACTTTCTCCTTACCCTTACTGACTACTCATTACTACTACTGCTACTACTACT